TTTTTTTTCGTCTTTTTGAGACAGGGTCTCCTTGTAGCCCCAGCTGTCCTGGAACTTACTATGTAGACCAGGCTGGCCTCGAACTCACAAAGATCCACCTGCCTCTGCCTCCCAAATGCTGGGATTAAAGGCCCGCGCCACCACACCCAGTTGGATGTTATCTTTTACTCATCTGTACTCTGCATAAGCTTCATTTGCATTGAGTTTTTTGTTTGTTTTTGTTTTTGTTTTTGATTTTTTTTTTTGGTCTTTTTGAAACAGGGTCTCCCTGTAGCCCCAGCTGTCCTGGAACTCACTATGTGAACCAGGCTGGCCTTGAACTCACAGAGATCTGCCTGCCTCTGCCTCCCAAGTGCTGGGAAAAAGGTGTACGCAACCACACCCAGCAAAAGTAACTTTTTAAGAGTACCATGTAGGGGGCTGAGAGATGGCTCAGCAGTTAAGAGCACTGACTGCTCTTGCACAGGACCTGGGTTTGATTCCCAGTACCCACACAGTGGCTAACATCTGTCTCTAACTGTAGTTCTAGGAATCTGATAATCTTCTGACCTCCTCAGGCATTGAATGACAGAGGTGCACTTACATGCAGGCAGTACACTGATATGCATAAAAATAATAAAAAAAAAAAAAAAAAGGAGTACCATCTGGAAAGTTTTAACTTTAAAGAAATAACTATGGCAGTATCATTTTTAGTTTTTAAAGTAGAACTTGAGTCCCTCTAGTGGGCAGGTGTAACCTACCTAAACTCTTAACTAGAAAGTCTGATGGTGATTTGGATTTCCATGCCCCCTCTCCCTGCTTTCAAATTTAGTGTTCTTAGCCGGGCATGGTGGCGCATACCTTTAATTCCAGTACTTGGGAGGAAGAGGAAGGTGGATCTCTGTGAGTTGAAGGCTAGCTTGGTCTACATAGTGAGTTCCAGGACAGCTGGGGCTATAGAGAGACCCTGTCTCAAAAAGACCAAAAAAAGAATTTAGTGTTCTTATTGGTTCTGGTGTGTTCCATCCCCAGCTGACAAAGAGTTCACAGATACCTGTTGGCTTACACCTGACGTTAGTCATTATTCATTAGTTCTTCTCCACCCCATGTGATCTCAGTGGTCCTGGTCATTCCTAGTCTATGATTTTGCAGGCCTCAGCAAGTTTAAACTCCAGCTATAATTTGATGATTTTATGACAGGTAGCTCTTTTTTATTTTTTTCTGGGGGGTGGGTGGGTGCAGTGCCAGGATCTTACATATACTAGGCCTGTCATTTACCAAGTTATGGCCACAGCAGCCCTACATGTAGTGTTGTTTTTCTTATGCGCACACGTGTGTGTGTGTGTGTGCGTGTGCGTGTGCGCGCTTTCGCGCTTTCGCTTGATCGCTTGCTTGGGTATATGTACCACATGTACATGCATGTGGAGACCAGACAACAACCATAAGATGTTCCTCGGGAGCAGTCCATCTTGGTTTTTGTGATAGGGTCACATTGGCCTAGAGCTCAATGTTGGCTGGCCAGTCAGCCCCAGGGATCCTCCTATTTCCACTTTCCTACTATTGGGATTACAAGCGAGCTATCATGCTTGGTTTTTTTGTTTTATTTATTCTTGAGATTAAACACAGGTCCTCAGGCTTGCATGGCAAACATTTTATCAATGGAATTATCTCCCTACCCTGAAGTTCTTTTATGGAAGAGAACACAGTCTTCCTGGTCCTCTTTTTGACCATAAAATAAACAACAGTAGAATCTGCACTCGTGGCTGGAACAGAACAAAGTGGTATGGTTTAAAAACTTCGATTTGGGTCTGGAGAGATGGCTCAGTGGTTAAGAACACTGACTGTTCTTGCAGAGGACCCGGGTTCCAATCCCAGCACCCATATGGCAGCTAACAGCTGTCCGTAACTCCAGTTCCAGGAGATCCAACAGCCTCTTCTCTCCTTCTTGGGCATTGCACAACACGGGTGCACATACCTGCATGCAGGCAATACACCCATACTCAAAAAATACAAATAATAAAATATTTTTTAAAATGACATAAAAACTGTAATGACATAGCCTGTTTCTTAGTTTTCTTTTTTATAAAATGAAAAAATGATAAGTTCCTTACAGAGCTGTCTGAAGCACTGGAAATAATTTGTGCAAAGGCCTTTGTGTTTCTCATGCCTCATGATTGGGAGCAGAAATATTGGAAATTTCCCTAGTTGTGTCTGTTGTAATGCACTAGATTTAATTGTTTGGATAACTTTCTTCTTTTTTCCATGCCGCCTTTTTTCTTTTAGTCACCCCCAAGTAAACGAAGAAAATTAGAGAAGCCAAGGAAACCCATTACGTTTGTGGTGTTGGAGTCTGTGATGAAAGAACTATCCCTCAAAGCATCGTCTTTGGGCTCTGAGTCAGTGGAAGGCATAGTAGTTGTAACAACCTGGATAGAAAAAATTCTCACTGATCTGAAGGTGTGTGGCTCCACATAGTGATGGAATAATTACCCATAATGATTTTTTGTTTTTTCTTGTATTAAAGGAGTTTGGCAAGTATCGACAAGTGACTTCCTATAAAATTCTGGGTTTTTTTCCTCCATATAGGTCCAGCATAAACGAGTTCCCTGTGGAAAAGAAGAAGTTAGCCTTTTCCTGACAGCTATAGAAAATTCTTGGATCCACTTAAGGCGAAAGAAAAGAGAGCGAGTGAGACAACTAAGAGAGGTGCCTCGAGCTCCTGAGGATGTAATCCAAGCCTTGGAAGAGAAAAAATCCACCCCTAAAGAGTTGAGTGGTAGTCAAGATGTGGTCCCATCCCCCCAGGAGAGTGCCTTGTGTGGGCCTGCTGTGCTGGAAGATGAGTCTGCCATTTTTGGTGGCCACTGCCCAAGCCAGGAGTCACTGTGCCAGGAGGAAACCTCAGAAGCCATGGAGGATGAAAGGAGTGAGGAAAAGGGTGGGATGGAGGTGGTGGAAGGTAGTAAAGGCTCTAGCAATGGAGCCCAGGACTGGGAGGCTTCTGAACATTTCAGCCACCCAGTGGCTGAGAAGGGGAATCACCTGCAAGGAGCAGCTGGACATTACCTGTTTAAGTGTTTGGTCAATGTCAAGAAGGAAGTAGATGATGCCTTAGTTGAAATGCATTGGGTTGAGGGCCAGAACAGAGATTTGATGAATCAGCTTTGTACCTATATACGTAACCAAATTTTCAGGCTTGTTGCTAGTTAATTCAAAACTTTTTACACAGTTAACAAAGTGTCTATATAGGGCTTAGGGGTATACTGTAGTGGCAGTTTGTGCTTACTATGCAGGAGACCTTGGGTTCAGTCCCTAATGTCTAACATCAGTTTTGTTGTTGTTGTTGTTGTTGTTTTGAGACAGGGGCTCCCTGTGGCCCCAGCTGTCCTGGAACTCATTGTGTAGACCAGGCTGGCCTCAAACTCACAAAGATCTGCCTGCCTGGGCCTCCCTGGTGCTGGGATTAAAGGTGTGTGCCACCATGCCCAGTAACTTTTTTTTTTTTGAATCTATAAGACAGTTGCTTTGAAGGAGGAGCCTGTGGGTTGGTTGGCCAGAGGAATTTCACCACTGGCCCATTAGTGAAATCATGTAGAATCATCCTAAAAAGCAGAAACTTAGCTGAGCATGGTGTCTCTCATTTTGAATTCCAACTCTAGAGGGTGAGGCAGGAGGATTGCTATGAGCTTGGGGCCAGTTTGGGCTACAGAGAATAACACTGTAAATAAAAAGGAGAAAAGCAGAAATTAATCCATTTTTAACCCCTTCCCCATTAAAGTTATGTGGAGTTGTAATACAGTAGTTCAGAAAGAAGAATTGTTACGATCCAACAATAAAAAGTCATTGATAAATTCAGGAGGAGCTTAAAGCCAACTCTAGCTCTTCACCTAAGCTTTGGATTGATCCCCTGAGGCAAGAGGGGTTGATATGGCGTCTGGTCTGGGTCCATACTGCCTTGGACATCACGAGTCTTTATCATTGAGGGTTGCTTGATGAAGAAGGGCAGTACAGCAGAGCAGAAGCCTGGGAACTGGGAACCCTCTTCTAGTTGCCTTCGGGACAACATGCTTCCACAGCTACCTGTGATTGATTGGCCCAGTCTCCAGTAAGGATAGCCAGAGTGTGAGGGAAAAAGCCTTGGTAAAGACAGGGATAGGGCCAGTCTGGGGAACACCTGGGAAGCAGTACATTCCTCACTCAAGGCTGTTGTGATATTGCCATTTCAGGTGCAGAATGGGGTTAGCAAAACTGTGAGGTGTGTCTGAGACACAACAAAATATACCTGTAGCCCCTCCTCCAGCCCATTTAAAGTACTGTTTTATAGCAGTTGTACTGCTGTAAGATTTTTTTTTTTAAACATGTGAAGTGGATTATCTTTTGTTTGTAAAATAAGAGTATTCAGAATTGAAAACTATTGTGTCTGAATCCTGAAATTGGGAAAATAGTTTGAGAAATGGAATCATATCTGTATGTAATAGGTAACTTAAAAAAATCTCAGTGGAAGAGCACTCACCCAGCACATGTGAAGCCCTGGGTTCTTCCCTAAGTACCACAGAAAGAAGTGGGCATCAGGGTCAGGTCTTAAATGGTGACATCTGATTTGCTGTTGACCATATCCTACTTTTTTTCTTTTTTTTTTTATTGTGTGCATGTATTGCCTGCATGTAGGTGAGTGCACCCATGTCCTGCAATGCCTGAGGAGGTCTGAAGAGGCTGTCAGATCCCCTGGGACTGGAGTTCAGACAGTTGTTAGCTGCCATGTGGGTGTTGGGATTTGAACCCAGGCCTTCTGCAAGAACAACCAGTGTTCTTAACCACTGAGCCAGCTCTCCAGCCCTCACATCCTACTTTTTTTGTGGCTTTCCCTCATCCTCTCCTTATCTAAAACACATTTCTAATGGAAATTCCAAGGTTCTGCAGATACCTCTGGAAGAGAGCCTGTTTTGTTCTTTTGTCTCAGAAACTATTGTGCTTGATTTTTTTTTTTTTTTTTTTTTAAGCATGCTGTGGTTCTGTTTGGACAAAAATCTTTGAGTCTAGTGCCAGAGCTGTTTGGAATCCATAAAGTAGACTGGTGCTAGGGGTTGGAGAGATGGCTCTCAGTGTTTAAGAGCACTTGCTGCTCTTGTAGAGAACCCAGGTTCCCAGCACCCACATGGTGACTTGCAGTCGTCTAACTCTGGTTCTAGTGGATCCAACGCCCTCTTCTGGCCTCCTGGGCCAGCAGGTATACATATGTACATACAAACATGCAGACAAGACACTCATACACATAGAAATAAATACTCTTTAAAAAAGAAGACTTGGTACTAAGTGGTTAAACTCCCCCCTCTAAGAAGTGGCAGTGGTTTGGTCAAAGCTGGTGACTGTGGCAGCTAGATCAGGCCCTAAGTAAAGGTATTTTTTATTTTTTTGGTCTTTTTGAGACAGGGTCTCCCTGTAGCCCCTGGCTGGCCTAGAACTCATTATGTAGACCAAGCTGGCCTTTAACTTAGAGATTCACCTGTCCCTGCCTCCCAAGTACTAGGATTAAAGGTGTGCACTACCACACCTGGCTAAGTAAAGGTGTGAGAAAATAAAAATACTTTGCCTCCCTGTAGCAGTGGAGTTCAAAGTTGGGAAAAATAGCATTTTAACCATGCCCTCCAGAGACTCCATAGGCTGCCTGTATGTATTTCTAAGATTCTGGGAGCATGTTTTTTGTTTTGCTTTGTTTTTTTCCTTTTTCCTGGGTCAGAAACTGAAAAGATGAAGAAACACTGTTCTGTTCTATCCGTTCATTTGACAGGATGAAGATGCCAGTATCCAGGGTCACAAAAAATGCCTAAATTTAATCCAGGGCCTTAAGATTCTTCATATCCAGTACATTTTGGCTTTGCAGCACCCAAAACCTAGCGCCCCCCCCCCACTTCCTCCCTCTTTGAGACAGGGTCTTATGTATCTGTGTCTGTGTTTCAGTTTTAGGATTAAGATTTGCTATCGTGAAAGAGGTGGTATTGGTGTTAATGATTCTAGAATTTAAAAAGCATCACGAGAGTGCTGGCCATAGTCTTTGGAAAACTAAAACTGTGACTGGGTGTGGTGGCATGCCTTTGATCCCAGCACTTGGGAAGCAAAGGCAGGAAGATCTTTGTAATTCAAGGCTAGCCTGGTCTACATAGTTCCAGGTCAGCCAGGGTTACATTGTGAGACCCTGTCTCAGAAAAACAAAACAGAAAACAAGCTGTGAGTGCTTTCTTTGCATTTGGATGTTACCTCCTTCTAAGGAGACAGGATTTTTTTTGGGGGGGGGTGGTTGTTTTTTGGTTTGTTTTTTTTTTGAGACAGGGTCTCCTTGTAGCCTCAGCTGGCCTGGAACTCACAGAGATCTGTCTACCTCTGCCTCCTGAGTGCTGAATGTTTATTTCTTAAAGTCACTGAAAACATAAAAGGACATCTAAAATTGTTTTGTTGTATAGACCTTGTAATTGTATGGCAGCATATACCTGATATGGGGAAAAGAAACACTTTAAAGAAATTGGTTATATACATATCACAGTTGGAGTGACATTCTGTTTAAGTGTCTGGAGTTCATGTTGGTGTTGGTGGATTGGTATGAAATTAAATCTTTGTGGTATCATCTTAAATTCTATTCTGGTTCCTGGAATTGGCTCCTGATTTCGTGATAGTGTAAAGGGGATCAGAAGCTGAGCTTGTTTTCCAAGGCGAACTAAGGCTGTGTTTGTTCTTCAGAATCTGCTTCAGTTCTGTCAATTTCATTCCAGTTCCAAGGGATCCGACAGCCTCTTCTGTCCTCCGCAGGCATTCATGACACACGTGCACTTACCTACATGCATGCAATACACACATACACAAAAAATAAATATAATAAAATAGTTTTTTTAAAAATCCCATGCAAAATCATCCCAATCAGCCATTTTGTTGTGTTTTTTGAAATGGTTTCATTCATGAAGCCCAAGCTGGCCTTGAACTTGCTAGGTAGCTAGGCTGGCATTGAACTCCTGATTCACCTGCCTCCACCTCCCCAGTTATTATACCTGTTTTTATGTAGTGCTGGGGATTGAACCCAGGGCTCAGTGTGTGGTAGACAAGCCAAATGTCATACCAGCCGAATGTTATACCTACCCCTCACACCTTTTAAGGGAGGGAGTTATGGTGACATCAATCTGTAATCCCAGCATTTGGAAGGTGGAAGCAGGAAGATCAGGAGTTCAGAGCTGAGTTCAAATCTGGTTTTGGCTACTTATGAGTTCAAGGTTGCATGAGAAACCCTGTTTGAAAGAAAGGTGGAGCCTCTTGGTCTTAACTTGAAGCACTTTTTTCTGCAGCCACATGAGGGCACCCTCAGCCCTTTAATCAAATGCCTAAACTTTACTGTGGGAATGGATAAAAAAGTATTTTTGAGCCTGGCGTTGTGGTACATGCCTTTAATCCCAGCACCTGGGAGGCAGAGGCAGGCGGATCTCTGTGAGTTCAAGGCCAGCCTGGTCCACATAGTGAGTTCCAGGATGGCTGGGGCTACAGGGAGATCCTGTCTCAAAAATACCAAAAAAAAAAAAAAAAAGTATTTGTGAAATTTTCTTGAAATAGCTAATTGCTACGCAGATAGGGGTTTTTTTTGTTTGTTTTTTTGTTTTTTGGTCTTTTTGAGACAGGGTCTCCTGTAGCCCCAGCTGTCCTGGAACTCACTATGTAGACCAGGCTGGCCTTGAACTCACAGAGATCCACCTGCCTCTGCCTCCCAAGTGCTGAGATTAAATGCATGCACCACCATGCCCAGCTCATATAAGTATTTCTTACATAAACAAGCACATTTTCACATTAAGAATTTTTTCGAGAAGTAAAAGTATAAAGAAGAAAAAATTCATTAGTTACAGTTTTTATCTGGCCTAGTCTCCTAAAATTTTCATGCTTTTTTATAATCTCAACTGATTAGTTGAGATTTAGTTTTTCTTTAATTCACATCTGTCTATAATACACTTGGTTTGGGCCTTGAAAAAAAAGGTTTCTATCGTTTTTTTTTTCCCCATTGATAACTAGTTAATGGGGATGCCTACCAGAGAGAGACTGTTTATTAACTTCTCAAAAACTTTTTAATCCAGGACTGGTAAGGTAGAGATCTCCTGGGGCTGGGGAGATGGCTCAGTGGTTAAGAACACTTGCTACTCTTACAGAGGACAGGGGGCGGGGGGAAGCTTTTAATTTTATTATTTTTATGTGTATGAGTGTTTTGCCTGCATGTATGTAAGTGCACCACATGTGTGCAATGCCCATGGAAGTCAGAAGAAGGTATTGCATCCCCTGGAACTGGAGTTACGGAGGGTTGTTAGTTGTCATGTGGATGTTGAGAACCAAACCTGGGTCTTCTGCAGGAGCAATCAGAGCTCTTAACTCTGAGCCATCTTTTCGAGCCTCAGCCTTATTTCTTCAGATGGATGTTTCCATGTAGATTAAGAACGTGAAGATTGCTGGATATGATGGTCCACAGCTTTAATCCCAGCACTCGGGAGGCAGAGGCAGGCAGATGTCTGTGAGTTCAAGGCCAGCCTGGTCTACATAGTTCCAGGACAGCTGGGACTACAGGGAGACCCCAAAAAAGACCACAAAAAAAAAGTGAAGATTAATAGCCCTATAGGGATGTAGGCTCAATGAGAAGTTCCATCCCCCCTTATTTTGTGACACAAGGTCAGATTTTGCAATGGTCACTCTGCAGATATGCACGTTGGAAGAAGGCCCTGTTTAAAGTCATTTGCCCTTTGAATAAAGGAACATCTCAAAGGTGTCATCCAGGAAATGCCCTAGGAAAGGGATGTGACCACATCGTTTGTAGGAAACATGTTCCTGGGGAGATTTGATTTGCTGGATGGCATAGCTTTGGTGAGGTCCTATCATTCATTAATAGAACAAACTGTCTTTTGCCTCCCGAGGCAGGGCATTGATTACCCCATATTCATACCTGTGTGAGTACCACTGCAATGTTAAAGCTTGGCACCCGCTAGCAATAGTCTTATGCATCCCTAAGATCCTGCTCTGTTCTGGAAAGATCCTCTGCCGTGACTCACCCAAATGACTAAAACAGCAGTTTGTTTCTTTAATTGCTGGTTGGAACAGCTAATGCTGCCTTTTTTGAAGTCTCTGCTTTTACTCCAGGAAACTAAGCTGTGACTGAGTGAAGACCTTATACCTCTAAATGCTCTTTGAGAGGTGTAGCCTATCTGCCTATCTAAGTCCAAGCAGAAACCCCAGGGCCTCTAGTTCTCCTTAGGAAGAGAAGGCTCACGGGTGCTCCTTAGGAACAAGAGAGTGAACATGGGAAGAGGGTGGAAAGCCACTAGTACACTGCACTTGGCAGAAGTGGCTTGGGAACAGTGCTGTCAAGAGGGCAGATGATGTAGAATCCAGGTGCTTTTCTACCCACCCCAGGGCAATGAACAGTGGGAGATTGCACAGACTTGGCAGCTCCTCAGCCCTGAGTTTGCAGTGCTGTTCTTACATAGGGCATGACAGTCTGACCAGGTCTTGGCCTCCTTATGCCCTAAGGTTATTCACAGAGGAAAGGTGTAGGAGCAGGATTTGAACTCAGATCCAAGAAACCATTCTAGGATCTTGTGCCAAATCTAAAAATTTTATGATGAATGATGCACTTAGGCTAAAAATGTACTTAAGACTTATTTGGGGACCAGAGAGATGGCTCAGTGGTTGAGAGCCCTGGATGCTTTTTCAGAGGACCCAGGTTCAATTCCCAGCACCCACATGGCAGTAAGAACTGTCCTTAACTCCAGTTCCAGGGGAATCTGATGCCCTCTTCTGAGCTCTGGCATTGCACGACACAGGTGCACTCACATACATGCAGGCAGTACACTCATACACATAAAATAAAAATAATAAAATATTTTTTTCAAAAGACTTATTTGAAGCTGGGCGTGGTGGCGCAGGCCTTTAATCCCAGCACTTGGGAGGCAGAGGCAAATGGATGTCTGTGAGTTCAAGGCCAGCCTGGTCTACATAGTTCCTGGATGGCTGGGGCTACAGGGAAACCCTGTCTCAAAAAGGGACCAAAAAAAAAAAAAACTTATTTGACCTGCTTCTGTGTGGGGAGACTTCAATTATATGACATAAGGAAGACAAAACAAACCTGTCTTAACTCTACAGTTTAGCACTTAAGGTGGTAGTATCTTCATGCCTATGGTCAATGAGTGAGACTCCGTAAGGGAAATTACTTATAATTAGTTCTTAATTTATGCCACCAAATCTTCACAGGATCTTGTATTTGGCAGTAGTGCAGATAATTAAGTTGTTAATGAAACCACAAAATAAAGTGTCTGGTGAAAGCACACTTTGGACAAGAGTCAGTGTGAAATAACTGATAATTAGGTAATGACTTTAACAATATGTAATTGTATAATAATGGAAGAGAAGCTTAGTTCTTTTTTAAATACAGAAGCTTCAATATTTCACTTATGAAACAACAAAACTGATGTGCTTTGTAAACTTGCCAGAGAAGGTAGCATTGTCAGAAAATCTTCAAGTTCTCTTCCCAGGTAGGCAGTGAAGCTGTGCAGGTCTGGGAGCCACAGAGGCTGCCTGCCATCTGGTTGACCTTCAGCAGGGATTTGTGGCTTGGGAGTCTAGAAGGAAAGCCAGAAATTCCCAGCTGGGGGACTTGGCTGGATGCTGTAGATATTGGGCCCTCATAGAGGTGGCAGCTTGTGCTGCTCGCTGTCCAAAAAGAGCAACCTACCCTGAGAGCGCTGCTGAGTGGGACTCTACAGGGACTGTAGCTGAGGCCAGTGTCCCCTGTTGGG